AAGAATCTCGATACTAGAAAATATATAGTAAAATAAATAGAAACTATATAGTATAAACAAGAGAAACCTAAATGAGAGAGAAGGAAATTCCTATAATCAAAGAAAGGAAATTCCTATGATTAAAAAAAGGAAAATAATTTCAGAAAGAGAAATAGAAGCAGAATAGATAGTCAAAAAGAGAGTTAAATTAAGTAATAATATTAGTTCTAGTTATAGTTTAGAAAACTAGCTATTATTAATTCATACAAAACTAGAAGCTATTTGAATAGCTCTCCTGACAGTACTATACAAAGCTTAGATTCATATATTTATAGATAGCAAAGTAGCAATTAAAGCTATTGAGAAATATATAAAAGAAAACAAGCTACAGAGTTAGTTTAAGACAAAAAATAAAAACTTATTAAGACAAATCAAAGACTGTTATAAAGCCAAAAACCTGAAACTATCATTATACAAAGTTAAGAGCTATAGTAGTAATAAGTAGAATAAGTAAGTAAACAAGTTAGCAAAAGAGTAAATCAAAAGCTCTGATCTGCTTATAGTTTCTGAAACTACTCTAGATAATCTAATAGCTACATCTAAATAAAAAGATTATATAATAGAATATCTATTTAGATCTTTTATAAATATAATTTTGGTAACAATCTATAAAACTGAATAGTCAAACTTAAGCAGAATAGCTGCAATTACAATGCAAAATTCTGAAACTATCTCTGATATTGAATTAAATTAGAAAAATATATAGGAAGTACTCAAAAATCTATAAGAGAAAAAGTATATAAGCTTCAAAACAAGCAAAGCATTTATATTTTATATCAAATATATAAATAGCATATTACCTACTAAAGATATTTGCTATCTCAAAAACTTCAAATTATACAAAAGCTGAAAATATATTGCTTGCTACAGAATAGATGAAACTATATACTATCTAGTTAAATATAAAATATATTAAAAAATTTGAAAAAACTTAGAAGAAAAAACCTTGTAGCTTACTAAATTAGAAGCTTTAATAAAACTAAACTTATTACTCAGAAAAGTACTATTGAGAAAAGTCTTATATAAGAAAGAAGCTAAAGTTTAGAAAGATATATTTTAGAAGGCTAACTAATAAAAGGCAGCTTGCAGATATGAGCAAAATAACTCAATTAAAGAGCAAGACAAGTAAAATACTTATAAGCTTCATCAAATACTTTTGGGTCTACTTCTATGAATATTTGTAAAAATTCTAATATGAAATTATGGTAGAATAGAAAAAAGAGAATAACATATCAACAAAAGAAAAAAAGAAAAGATAAAAAAAAGAAGGAAGATAAGAAAAACATAACTCCTTCAAATACAGAAAAGAAATCAAAGAATGAAAAAAAAACAAGAATATAAAAAGAAACTCTTAACAGAATTGACAGATAAATCAAGACAAATAGTAAGAAAGAATAATTATCCTTATAAAAAATTTTTTCTGAATATTTCAATTATTTATCCATATTTTTTCTAAAAACTGTAAATTTGCAACATGATCGACAAAGCTGAATAATCTTCATGATTTAAGATTATAAATTCTGTAAATATGCAATATTTATAGAAAAAACATGGAATATAAAACACAGATCAACTTTTTTTATAGAGTATAGATTAAAACAAAATAAGTAATTTTTGATATAGGCTAATAGTAATTTCTTGTTAACTAGAAACTTAATATTTGTTTATACAGATATGAGTTTTTACAAGAGAAATAGTTACTGCAGCAGATCATACTTAAACCTCTAAAAGTAGCCAAGTAAGTTCAGAATAGTTTTAGAAGAATATTTGTTATAAATAGTATAGCATTATACTTTGTAGCTTATATTAGCTTATTCTTAATAAAATAATAAGCAAGATCATCTAAGTTTAAAACAAAAAAAAATATTAATAATACTATATATAGCTCATAACCTACTCATTATTAACAGAAGATATTTTATTAACTTCCTGGTTTTTCTAATCCTTTCTCTTATATTTTGTTAAAAGATAAAAAATATATATATATAAGTTTTTTCTTTTCTTATTATTTTTGATTTTAAAAATTATTAAAAAGAATATATATATTTTTTTTCAATATATTTAATAGAAAAATTTATTTTTTGTTAATATATAAGTTAAAAATAATCATACGTAGCTTCAAAGTTTATAATAAATTCATATATTTTTAATATAATTTTATATAATAATAATAATTTTATGTAATTGCTATAAAATTCTGAATTTTTTATAATTTTTATAAGTATGAAAATTATTTGTAACAACGCGTTATATAACAACCTGTAATAGTCAATCAAAATTCAGTAAATTATAAAAGTTGTTACAATTAGATTTATCCATAATAAAAAACAAACAAAATGGTTCAATAATAATATTATTCGCAAGTTTCAAGTAATTCCAATGGTGAATATCTCATTATCATAGTCGTTCAAACTCGACTTTTCACACATTGATTGGTGTGAAGATAATATGAACTCTTTGCTCAAATCTTGATATTTGTGATTTATATTTGTTTAATCTTATGCATCCTGTAACTGCTTACAATCCGAATCATTAATACCAAATTCAAAGCAATAAATACCACCTCTTGAACAACCAGCTACAACTCTTTCTTCGTCAATTACAAGTATGCTAAATACAGGGTTAATGATATCAGGCATAGAATCAAGAACACTATTCTCAGATTTTAAAGAGTTTGGCCCGCATATTCTATCCTTACTATTCAATCCAGTAAGAAAGTTGTAAACGAGAAGATGGCTCTTAGGTGGATAGGAAACAAGTGATCCAATAACACCATGATTATATTTAGCGTCTATTCCTGCACAAAGCATACGACACGAAATTTTTTCATTTTTGTAATGAACTTCGGGATCTTGAGAAAAAATGTAATGATATTTTTCATCCATCTCAATTTCTGGGCATGTTGATGATTCCAAATTGTGGTATATCGCTTTCCATCTTAAGTGAAATATAGAACCAGAAGGTGCGATACACAAGAGATCACGACCTTCACCTTGATGATCAAATGCGCAAGTACTAATTGATGTTGAAAGAGTGTATTGGTGAATATGTTCATTCGTCGCAATATTGAACACATCGATTGTACCATTTGTCGAAACAGAAAGAATTGTATTGCGGCCAAGAAAGCGGACACCTGCGACCTAGTTATATAATATAAAGCAAATTATTGTAAAAAATATATAAATAGAGGTCCAAAGGATTTTGAATTTTAATTGGTCTCTGCAAAATTGAGAAACCATCTACTTATAACAACCAATTAAATTTCACATACAGACATTTTTATACTGTTTTTATTAAAAATTTTCTTGAACTTTAAATTTGAATATCTCAATAAAAACCTAATCAGTTTTGATTATTTAGTATTCATTTTAATTCTACAAACTTGTAGAAATAAAATGAATACTAAATCATCAAAATTGATTAGGTTTTTATTGAGATATTCAAATTTAAAGTTCAAGAAAATTTTTTGATAAAAACAATATGCTTGGATTCTGTTGACTCTCCCATATCTCTGTTTGTAAAGTTCAGATTTAAAGTCAATAAAACTAACCGGATTATTATGACGATGAAATAAGGCGATTTTTCTACCATCAGCCCATAATAGAATATGTATTACCCCTTTACAAGTGCCTAATACTATGTATTCTTTGTTCATGGCCATACATTGAGTTCCTATCCAGTGTTCCTCAATAAATCGGCCAAGGCATTCACCTTTCGAAAGCGAAAAAATTTTACACCCAAAATCACTGTAATTAAATAATAGTTTGAAGTAGCAAATCATAATAAGATTTTATAAAGCACGTTGTTAGTAATAAATAAAAGTATTCATACCCATAGTATGAGCCGCAAGCAATAACATTCATATCTTCTAGAAAATCAACACATGAAATATCTGCACCAAAATCGATATTGAGATCGCATTCACCAGTTTTGATGTTCCAAACTTTGAGATAATTTTCACTTGAACCCGTAACTAGTATATTCCCACGTAGTTTTAAAGCTGTAACATTATTGTTGTATGCTTTAAAGCTCGATACTTTGGTTGCAATCCCTCGAGCCCAGTTTAGCTGAATTCGATAAAATTTTTCCCAACTATTTGCTGAAGATTTAGTTAGAGGTGGAAGTGGCCCTGGTTCGAATAACGCCGCGCTATGGTGCTGCCATATTGTTTCGTCCAGAGAGATAGAATAACTGAAAGGATCGAAAAAAATATTATAACGAACAATGTTCTAATCCATTTTTATCTAGATTCGATGTTAAGAAGTACCATTTTTTGGAAACCTTAAAGAAAATATTCGAATGAGAATATTTTCAAATCGCGTTGTTAATTAAAATTTTAAAGGTCTCTACCGTACGACACCGACAAAGGGTAGACACGGGAAACTCAATAAAAATCCTTAACCAGAGTTCATCAGACAATAAATCAAAGGGACTTGTTACAGAAGTTTTATTGCTTTTAGATTTTTCTTGGCTTTCCATGACCACAATATTTATAAAAAAGTAAAATCCTTCTATCGCTATGATTTGGCCAGAATTTCATAGTCGAATTCAGGACGATGATTTAGTGTAACCAAAATGGAGCGAATTTATAGAGTTCGCTCCATTATAGGGTTACAAAAGACTGGGAGTTGGGGCAGGGACCATGAAAAATATCGATTTTGATTTGCTAAAAGATTTCGGGTAAGAGTAGGTGTTCCAGAAATTATGATAAAAATATCCGTCCGATTCGATCCGTGCGGAACACTAACTGTAACTTTTAGTTCTTACGTATAACCCGGTGACCAAACCGCCTGTTCTCAGTAGTGATGCAAACAGTTGACTTGGCTCGGCTTACGGTTAACATTTACCAAGCTGAGCCGATTCTTCGGTTCTAAAAACTAGAGCCGAACCGTTTATAAGCCGAGCTACTATTCAAAAAAAAGATCGGGACAGCTGATTAAAATTTGACCGAATAAATATTTGTCGATTCGATAAAATGATCTAGATAATATATGGTAATATGTACACCGATAAACAAGCTAAAGGTTCTTTAGTCGTTAAATCTATCGTTTCAATAATTTCATCTGATTCGTGTTTGTTCGGGTTTTCTTTTCGATCTATATTTTGTATTATATATAAAAACTAAATAAAATAATGTAAAATATAAATTTTTACTTTGTTTAATTGATTATAATTCTCAATGAAGTTTCGACAAATAATAATAAAATCTTGGTTGTTTGGAATTATAACTTGTGTGATATATTTTTTTAAATCCAATCAACGTATTCTTGATCATATTGAAATTTTTTTATTATTAGCGTCTACTCTTGTAATATATTTATTATGAAAGCTTATTTTATATTTAAACCCTTTTTTAGGTATTTTGTTAAGATCTATTGGTTGGTAAGATCAATCTTTGCCATAAATTTTCGTACAGATTAATACTGGACATGCATTCAAGAGAATACTTAATGTTGGCATTATAAGAATGTTCAGAATACTATCACTATGTATTAAAAAAATCTCTCTCTCCAAATCAAAAGTTTATCACTGACGAATCAAAAAATTTATCGAATCGGCAAATATTTATTCGGGCAAATTTTAATCAGCTGTTCCAGTTAGAATGAAAAACAGTCAACTAGACGAAATTGAGGGTTACTATTGGATAATGGTCATGTGATATAGATTTGTCGGCTCGCAGCTCCATATTGCCACTTTTAGAGCTGATGCTTTATTAGTAAACCTGTAGCCGAGCCGTTTGGCTCGCGGCTCGGCTCAAGCCGTTTGCATCACTATTTGTATGGCCTCAGCAAGCTTTGAATATAGGATTGAGTTTAGGTTAGAAGAATTTAGGTAGACTCTATATACGATATAATACGTAATTTCACGTAAAGTCCGGTATTACAGAAGTTTAGGCAGTATTGATCAGGGACGTGGGGATTTTGTGATATAATTTAGCAAATTATGTTTTCGTTATCGTTATCAGCAAATTATTTGATTTACTGCTGATCAATAATTATAAAAAAAAACGATTTTTCAAAAAAAAAGTTGCACTAAAAATTTAAATTGATTTTTTACATGCAAATAGTTAATAATTTGATTTGTTTGTTTGTATC